GGTCGTGTGATCCAAACCTCCTGGAGAGGCTTCACAGGAGAGCCCTCTCCCCGCTTCCGTGGGGGCAGCCGGGGTACCGTGTGGGGGGATCTCACTCCAGGGATCCCAACTTGCCTAACGCCTTGCTTTGCTTTGCCTCGCAGCCTGGAGCAGCTGATCTCGCCCGTGGCCTTCCCGTCCAACAGCAGCCTGGACCCATGTGCAAAAGAGACTGTGCTGAATGCCATCAAGGAGAGCAGGAAGAGGGCTGTGGAGGAGGAGGAGGAGGAGGACCAGGACCAGGCTTTTGGGAGCGATCAGGAGAGCAAAAGAAGGTAATAAGCCAGCAGTCCAGGTCGCTGCCAGTGTGTTGGGAAGGTCGTAAATGGGGCTAGCGCTTCAGTGGTGACAAATAGGATGTGTCCCAGAGCACGCCGGGCCCGGTGTGAGCAGGAGTCTGGGTTGGAAAATTGCTGTGGGAAGTGAGCCGCAGAGAGGAAGCACACCCCATCACCCGGCCCTCTGGGCTGTGTTGGAAAGTCCTCCGAGACTTCGTTTTGTCCTTGAGATCAAAGGGATGTGGTTTAGTTTTTTTGTCTGGGCAAGCTCGTGGGTCAAGCCTGTTCCCCTGTGTTGCCGGGCTTGAGAGAGGCTGGGATGTGGTTGGGGAAGCCTGGCAGGGAAGTGGCTTCTGTCATCATGGGGGTTTGCAGATTGGAGAAACGTGGTGGGAAATGCTGGTATCTGCTGTAGGATCATCGTCTCTATCCTTCAGTCAGCCCCAGGCTTCCAGGGGAGATGGGATCCCCAAGTCTTACAGCCCTGAGTGGAAGCATTGCACTTTAAAAGATCTGTGTGCTTCCTTCGTGCGCTGCAGCTAGCAAAAGGAGGCAAAAACACAAGGGTAAACAAGAGAGACTATCTTCTGCTTTTGTTAGTCAAGGTCAGCGATTACCAGCTCTGAGCTCGAAGAAATGAGGGTGCAGTGTCTTTGCCAGCGCTCTGGGAAGGACAAGGCGTAAATCCTGGGTGCCAAGGTCTGCTGGAGCCTTTCTAACTGCCTGGGCACAGCGCTGCCTTGCCGTTCTCCCCTCCTGTTTTTCATCCTTCCCACTTGTGTACATGGAGGCCGTTCGCCTCGTGCCCGTCGCGTGCTGGAGCTGCCGGCCTGGGCTTGAGCAGGGGAGCTGAGAGAGCATAGAAGAGTGGTTTGGGCAGTGCCCAGGCGCTTTGCCCCGTGTGCTGTGCTGGGTCTGCTGCTAGAGGTGGTCCTGAGAGCGCAGCAGGATGAGCGGCGGTTTGCAGGGAGCTGCCGGCTGCCTTCCTGCTGCAGCAGAGCTTGCTGTCCTCTCCTCCATCACTGGATTTCCCTCTACCTTTGAACCTTTGCCTCGGCTCAGTGAATCTGAGCCTCACAAGAGCTGAGCAAGATGACACAGGATGGGTGCACAGACAGGCTCAGCTTGGTTTTTTTCTTTATTCTGTTTTTTTAACATGCCAATACCCAGCTCTGCCCCGAAAGCCAATCTTGAAGGCATTAAAGCCTGGCAAGCACAAAGAATGCTTATAGGCAGAAAATCCTGCGACCTTTGAGGGCAGAAAGGAGCCTGCGTCAGCTGGAGAGCACTGGATCACCTGTGCAATGGGGTCAGCGTGCTTGAGCTCGAGGGAAGCACTTGGGCTAAGTGACAAGGCTGATCGTACATCTCCAGCTCTGCTTCGCAGCAGGGTTTGCTTTAAGACTTTCAGACTTCAGATCTTCACTGAATCATTGTGGGAAGGGGGATTTGGTTTCTGGCTCCAACAGTCCAGGGCACTAGCTAGGAAGAGGTAGGAGATCTGAGTTTCGGAGCTCAGTTCCATTCCAGAAATGAGCTGCTGAGACTCTCTGAAATGTTTTGGCTTAGAATAACGGATTTGAGCAAAGATTTTATTACATCAAAACTAGTCTGCCCAGCAAGCAGCTGGTGGAGCTGCTGGTGCCTGGGAAGAGGCAGCTTGGGGTGACAGTTAGTAAAGACAGGACCAGGTGGAGAGAAAACCCACAGCAGGATGTGGATGGGGAAAACCTCTGTGCTTGGGTATTGGGTGACAAGAAAAAAGCAAGGTTTGTGCTTTCTCAGTGCCGAGCCTGCCTGGAAGGGGTCTTCTCCCGAGGCTGGGAGGGCAGCCCCTGTCTCTGCTGCCTCCACACTACCACAGGCTTCTGCCCTCTCTCCCGCAGGCGCCACGATAGCAGTGGAAGTGGGCAGTCAGCGTTTGAGCCGCTGGTGGCCAACGGTGCCCCTGCCTCTCTCATACCCAAGTAAGTGCCCATCGGGCCAAAAGCAACTGCTGTGAGCTGGAAGGGGGGTCCGAAAGCCTGCGGGCTCTAGAAAAGGTGCTTGGCTTTTGCTTGCGGAGCCTATCTTCGGGGGAGAACAAAAGAGGCTGTGGCCGTGCCTTCAGTCTGTCACCCTGAGTGCAGGCCGGTGTCCCTAAGGGCTGTGCCACTGCTGAGGCCTCTTTCCAAGCCCTGCGCTGTGGGAAAGAGCGGGGTTGCTTTCCTTCACCCGCCCTGCATTTAAAGGACCTGTGGGCAGAGTGGTGGGGAGCTCATAAAATCTTTTTTAACCTTCTGTAGGCCTGGCTCTCTGAAGAGGGGCCTTGTCTCACACTGCCCGGATGACTGCTCAAACAAGAGGTCACGCACCTCTTCCATGAGTTCCCTCAACAATACGTATGCTGGCGGGATCCCCAGTTCCATCCGCAACGCCATCGCCAGCTCCTACAGCTCCAGCCGGGGCCTCTCACAGGTAGGAAACACCCTGCCAAAGGCAGCGCCGGAGCCCAGCGCAGAGTGGCTCCCCCCCCCCCCC